TTCTGTCGTAACACAATGCTCGCTGATCTGCCGGTATAGGTTATTTTAATAATTTTCATTTAAAAAATATATATAACTTCACACCTAATGCTTTATTTTGTCAGATTTTGGAGGTCAAAAAGTCATTAAAGAAACAATGTTCCTTTTGGCCATTGATAGGTTACATTAGTATAGGTAGCTATTTAAGAATATCCATTTCAATAACAATCTAGAGTTTGTTGCATTTCAAATTATGTAACAATTGATTTGGAAAACGAAAGGTTTTGGGTTTCTCTATCAATTAGCTAAGAACAAGGAAAGTCAGATACTTGCATGCCATTTTATTAATTAGAGAGAGGCATGTTTGACAAAAGATAAGTAGAAAAAAATATAACAAGTAAAATACAAGCTAGTTAAAATTCTACTTTTGATGTTATTGTTCTCAAATAAATGACTTAAACGACAGACAAATTACAGTTGAAAAAGAGATATGCATTATTTTTCTCTTAACGTTTAATTATTTACATTCTGACAAATATAAATCTATAGGGAAATGGCCTATATAGAAGTTGCATAAAAAAGTAAAATATGAGCATTTCATCTGCGTAAAGTATGATGTAAGTAATGGCTGTAACTGACGTTGATGGACGAGCAAAAACTTGAAAATTCATTTATCTAGGTGTATGCATACGTATTCATACGCATGTTTTTCCGTGTGGTGTTTTTTATTCTCCTTTGTCTACGACTAACTGAGCCCGGTTCCAACATTAATCAGTGGTCTGCGGGTGAAGTTTATTGTTATGCTAGCATTGTCAGACTATCTGTCATGCAGAACTAATTTATGGTTTGTTAATTTTGAATTATTCATGCGTACTTTGAAATAGATGCAGAATAATTTTAGATGCTCAAGTTTTTCAAACAAAACAAACATTTCCTCAAAATTTCTCTGCATTTCAAGATTTCTTTTATCAAATTTTGCCAGAGCCATCTTTTTATGCCACCGCAGCATCTGCGATGCGGTGGCATATAGCGATTCACCTGTGTGTGTGTTTGTTTGTGTGTGTGTGTGTTATATAGATTATATAGTGAACTTAAAAAATCTTCTTGTGAAAAACCACTTGTCCAATTTCAACCAAACTTGGCAGGATTGATCCTTGGGTGAAGGGCTTCCAAAGTTGTTCAAAGAATTTGATTCCATGCAGAAATCTGGTTGCCATGGCAACCAAAAGGAATTATAAGAATAAATTTAAAAAATCTTCTTGTAAAGACCCAAAAGGCATAGAGCTTAGATATTTTGCATAAGGCATTGTCTGGTAGACCTCTACCAAGATTGTTCAAATTATAACCCTGGGGTCAAAATCGGCCCCGCCCCGGGGGTCATTGATTTTCACTATATGTACATATAGTAAAAACTTAAAATAACTTCTTGTAAAGACCCAAAAGGCCTAGAGCTTAGATATTTTGCATAAGGCATTGTCTGGTAGACCTCTACCAAGATTATTCAAATTATAACCCTGGGGGCAAAATCAGCCCCGCCCCGGGGTCATTGATTTTCACTATATGTACATATAGTAAAAAACTTAAAATAACTTCTTGTAAAGACCCAAAAGGCCTAGAGCTTAGATATTTTGCATAAGGCATTTTCTTGTAGACCCTTACCAAGATTGTCCAAATTACAGCCCTGGGGTCAAAATCGGCCCCGCCCCGGGGGTCATTGATTTTCACTATATGTACATATAGTAAAACTTAAAATACCTTCTTGTAAAGAACCAAAAGGTCTAGGGCTTAGATATTTTGCATAAGGCATTATCTGGTAGACCTCTACCAAGATTGTTCAAATTATAGCCCTGGTGTCAACATCGGCCCTGCCCCGGGGGTCAATGGTTTTCCTTATATGTATATAGTAAATACTTTATAGTAAAAAAATTTCTTCTAGCAAATGCTAGAGGTTAGATATTTTGCACGAAACATTGTGAAGTGAACTTCTAGCAAGATTGTTCAAATTATAGCCCTGGGGTCAAAATTGCCACTGCCCCGGGGTCATTGATTTTCAATACATACATATATTAAAAAAAAAAAAATCTTATTGTCTGAAGGTACAAGGCTTAGAGCTTGAATATTTGTTAAATGATATCATCTATAGGTACTCTACCAAAGTTGTTCAAATTTTGCCTCTTGTGTCAAAATTAGCCCCGCCCCATGGGCCATAGGTTTTCTTATATGTATATAGTAAAAACTTAAAAAATCATCTTCTAAATTTACAAAGGCTAGAGTTAAGATATTTTGCATGAAACATTATGTGGTGAACCTCTAGCAAGATTGTACACATTATAGCCCTTAGGTCAAAATTGGCCCCACCCCCAGGAGTCATTGATTTTCACTATGTACATATAGTAAAAAAAAAAAGAAATATTTTTGTCTGAAGGTACAAGGCATAGAGCTTTGATGTTTTCTCTATAATATATTCTATGGGTTCTCTACTAAAGTTGTTTTAATTATGCCCCTAGTGTTAAAATTAGCCCTGCCCAGGGGCAGTGATTCTCATTATGTTCACATAGTAAAAACAGAAAATAAAACAAATCTTTTCTGAATAGGAGAAAGCTACAGCTTAGATATTTGACTTGAAATGTTGTTTGGTGGACCTGTATCAAGATTGTTTTGAATTAAACCCTTGGGTCCAAAATTTTGCCTTGCCCAAGGGGACAGTGACCTACTTTCTTGTCCTTTGATGTACAGCAATGAAATTTTGACCATGTGCACAGTTTTAGTTGTAAAATTGAACTTTGATATCAGGTGAACTAGATTTTGATGATGTGACCTACTTTCTTGTCCTTTGATGTACAGCTATGAAATTTGAACCATGTGTACAGATTAAGATGTTAAGTGAACTTTGATTTCAGCTGACCTAGATTTTGACAAAGTGTCTTACTATGTTGTCCTTTGATGTAGTCATGAAATTTAGGCTGTGTGAAATATGACCTTCACCACCAAATTCACTAGACTCAAGTGCATTGATATATTCCTACTAAGATCTTTTATTGAGTTAACAACAGATTTAACCACTAATCTGATAATAATAATTAGATAGGTCAGGGATCTATGCATTATGACAATCTTCAAAATTGTATAGAAACAAAGAAAATCTGTTCCTACACTACTATTTAGTGTTGTATTAATGCGGTGGCATAGCATTTTTCTCAAATGCAATCTTGTTTCAAGAATGATATATTATTTAGAATAGTTATTTATAAAGTTTGTTTATACAGTTTATGTGATTTAATATTTAAAGAGTATTTTCACTTAATATGCTGCGTTTTACATGCTTTAACTCCCAGCTTGCAGGCAGCAACAGACTCTACCCATGCAACCAGTGCTGACCAAGATCAGTTAGCACATAATTACAGCATATCCGATTGTTTGCTATTCATTCAGAAATATTTTGAAACTTTCCCTAAATATGATCATCCAAGTTTTGTCCAGCTTGAAGACGGACAAGTCCATTTAAGATATTTAGCATTGTGCATGGTAAGGGTTAATTCCCTTGTTTCATAGTTATGTTACTTGAATATAATGAGTGTATATGCATTATCATATGACTAGTACTTTTTCTCTCATCATAAGTAAGACAAAAAATGCAGTCATGTTTAGTTCCTAATATGTTCAGTAATTTTAAACCTTTTTTACATAATTTTTAACATGTCAATGAAATTATTTTGCAATGAACACATATGAATTGATGCCATTATCATAAAAATGTCAATTAAAAATGAGGGGGTTTATCATTTAAAATTGTTACAAATTTTTGATTTTATTGAACAAAAAATTTTGTAACAATCTTGACTTTGTTTGGAATATGTCTATTTTTTATCTCGAAATTTTATACAGGAAGGAGACTGTTCCTTCAATGAAAGGTTTCTTTTTATTAATTATGTGCGAAAATTGGTTTCCGTTGCATTTTCATTAATGAAATATTTGCGCGAAACGTGATGTTATATATGAATAATAAATGAAAAACTTGTGAATGAAACTGAGATGCTGCAAGCATCGAGCCATTGATGTTTTAAATGTACATTTGAATGGTTTGTGATTAAAATTCCATTATGCATAGGTTCATATCTATTATACATTCATGCATGCAATACGTTTCCTATGATTGTGTTTTGTCATGTTTCATCAATACTCTCATTTTAAAGCAATGTTGTTAATTCATGAGAAATTTACAGAAGTCTTCGACTGCTGTTGGCTTGAGCCAAATAAGTTTTCTCTGTCTGAACAAAGTACTCCAGCACCCTGTGGCTTGATTTAAGTAGATCTTGGATTTGTTTTTTTTAGTTGCATAGATTTCGTATTGTATTTAGAAACTTAAGATTCATAAACTGATGCTCAGCCACTTAATAACTTTAGAGAAAACTGGTTTTACATAGATACGGTATTTACTATAACATAATATTATTTCTTTGGAAGATGCCATGACTGCATTTCATATAAAGTCCTAAGTGTGCCCTAAGTCCTAGGACATAAAACCAACTTAAGGACTGACTTCAGACTGTTTAAATAAATGTTTTTACCTTCAGCCAAAGACTGTACAGGAGACTATAATTAAATTTATTTTCCTGAGAAAAGTTATTATAGAAATACAGTGACAGATCCTTTTATTCACAATGTGTTTAAGTAGTGCTCATCTGCATTGCATTTCAGAAATAAAAAGAGAATCATGAAATAGGAGTTGTAAGTTAAAACGCAAAATTATCTTACTTTTGGTCTTAAGACTGCATGACTTCAGACTTAACACTTTCTATGAAATGCAGCCCTGATTGATAAGTGCATTGTTAGAAAAAATATATCCATTTCAGTTTAAGAAGCCATTATAACATCATATCTTATTTAAATCTTTTATATATATAGAAAAAGATTACTTATAAATGAGACAGCCTTTATAAAATAAAGGCTTCTGGATTTGATTATCATTTCTGGGTTATGTAATTTCTGATTTGATATGCCAGAATAAACAAAGATTAATGTGCTGTTATTTTCATTGATTTTATTATGCAAATTTGTCATACAATATGAATAAATACATATGAAAAACAATAGAAAATGTGTTCCTTAACAAATAGAGTAGAAGAAAGAAAACTGAAGAAAATTTAAACATTTGAGATGAACAACATTGTCATGGTAACAGTTTATGGCTAATTTAAAAAAAAACTGATCAGAAATCAGTGGATTTCTTTTGATCTCAACTAATGTTTTTTCTTCAGTTGCAAACCTTTTTAACAACAACAAAAAATCATTTTCTTGATCTACCCTTTACGTAAATAGTTATTAATGTTTTTTGTCAAATTTTCACATGAAATAGTGGAATATTTTTTTTTTCCCTTCATTACTTGATGATTTAAATAAAATCATTAGTAAAACAAACTAAAAGTTTTGACTGTTTTGAAGTGTTTTTGACACATTTCGACATCTTTTCAACAAAATTGAACATTACCGGTATATTATATCCATCAAATGTAGGGTATATAAATTTTCTTATTCAACCATTTGTCCATGTCGTGTTTCACCAATATGACCGATGCTCCTCATATTTAGATTTTTTTTTATTTTGAATTCCCTCAAAATAAGAATGGACTGTTCCAAATTCAATGGAAGGCAAGTCTATTTTAATAACTTAAGGGTTACAAATTAAGTACTCAAGTAACAATGAGGTTTGTTATGAAACAAATTAACAAATTCTTCTAAAATGACCACTTGAATAGCAATGTTGACTTAAATATTGTAACAATGAGTAAAAGACCTAGATAAATTAATAATTTGAATAAGTCGTTAGCCAAAATTCAACCAGAATTTCCGTCTTGTTAAGGAAACTTTAAGTTTCGTAATGCAGTATGATTATTTTAGAAGAGACGTCATGTATTGATGTATGGACATTGTATGAAATATTTTGAAACTGTGAATATAAAAAAAAAATTGCTGATATTTTATGAACATTTTTAATGGAATTAAAGAACAAAAAAACAAAAAACACATAATTATATCTAGCCAAAACTGTACATATTGAGAATATTAAGAAAATTTGTTATGCCAGTATTGTAGAAAAGTTTGGCACTTTATCACATTATGGAATGGATCTCACTTTTAATAGTATTGTCTTTCAACATTTAAGTCTATAAATAATAATATTATAGCACAACAATGCAATCTATTTGAGTTATAAAGTTCTTAAGATCATCCTCGAAAAACAGCCGTCCATTTAAAGTGGTAGGTCAGACGACAATAAAAATAAAATCTTTGCCAATTTCGGTTAAGATTTTGAAACAGAATATAGAATCACCATTTTTGATATGAACTATAAACACAATTTTTGATTGTTAGAATAACAATGTTTTGTTTTTTTCAGCTTAACTTTTCATCATTTTTCACTTTTTTTGCTTTTAACGCAACATACTGTTTTAAATGTATCTGACCAGTTCATAATCATTGCAAACGGAAACATTCTACTGTTGTTTTTTTATAAACTTTTAAGCACTATACAACAGAATATAGAGTCGGATCACTTAATTCCTCAATGTAAGGCTTATGCACCATAGCTTGTGTAATTGTAAGTTTTTGTGACGGTTCAGTTATACTGTGCACCGGACTTTTAATACCATACATTCCAGTGTCCGGATTGATAGGTCTCATATGACTTGTACTTGTTATATTATATCCGGGAATGTGAGAGTTAACCGGTATTTGAGAATTAACCGATATGTGACCGTTCATTAAAATCTGGTTGTTTAATGTCGGTTGGTAACACAGCTGTCTTTGTTTTATTGGTCCATGGTCTGTGACCGGACCAATGTATCCAATGCTATGCATTGGACCGAAACTGTTCATATCACTTCCGTAACCAATACTGTTCGGCTGGCTGAATGTTCCGTCACTATAGAAACCATGCGGATGAATATTGTTCCGGTTAGAACAGTTATCAGAACACAGTTTAATTCCATAATTTCCCGCACAAGTTACAGGTCCTACATGGCTGTCAATGCTATGCAGTCGACCACCATGGACATCGTTTATAGACTTACTAATGTAATTGCTACATGACTGACCAGAACTGTGGCCAGGTTGTGAAGCAATATGGCCGAGGTTACTTGTAGTAGGCATCATAATGCCCATATGATGTTGGGATGAGTTAATTGCAGGTGCATTACTCATATTATGAGATTCACTACATGTATTTCCAACACTGTAATGCTGACTAGTTGGCAAAGGCAACCTTTGCCTTTGAATTTTGTGTTTACTTGAATTTCTGTTCACATATGACACTAATGGTTGCTGTCCAGATTCATTTGGGTGTATTTTGATTGGTTTAAAAAGTGGAACAGCATCATGCACATGCAAACTGTGAACCCCGTTTGATTGCCCACAGTTCTCCTGTGCATTTCCTGTACTACTACTAGCACTATGAATATATTGTCCCGATCGGGAACTCCGAAATCCCGAGTCATCAGAATCATCAGATGCTTGTGAATTTGGACGAACACTTTCACTTCTCTGCACTTGATGTGCGTTATTTTCAACATGACACTGAATTTGATTTAAATCCGAAAATCCGCTGTCCGGGTTAGTGCGATACATTGCCGGATTGTCAAAGCCCTCTGTCGGTTCCGGACTTTCCTCATAATTGTCGTTTGATTTGTTCTTGTTGTTATTATTGTGACCAAACGTATCGCTCAATAGAGCCATGTTGGATTTAAATGGAGGAGGTGGCGGAGGAGGGGCTTCGTAGTCCTTTCCAATGGAACGTAACTTTTCAATCTTATGTGGATCGTGTTTTTTGTACAATATCTGGTTCCGTATCCTCATCTTATACCAGCAGTAGCAGAATACGACGAAAAGCGCGATGGTAACCAACGCCGGAATCAACACTCCGAAGAAGAACAGTAAATTCATGCTGGATTTGTTTACCATTCTGAACAGGTAAAATATGTCTGCTTAAGCCGTCTGGAAGCCATCTTCAAGGGTGAAGGTCACTACTGAGGCATGTGCAGAATACCTGAAATACACAAAACATATGCACATAATTATTAAAACATTTGTAATGAAAAATGCAATTTATGGTTGTAATGCAATTTTATATTAATCATAAAATACATAAATTTCGTTACACTGTTAGTTAACAAAGTAGACTGGGCATAAAATTTCCAGCCTTTATGACAGTTATTTGTCTACATATTGTGCAATGGTATAAAAAAAAATTCCCTCATCACTTTAAAATGCATACTTTACTATTATTATTCATAATATATTCATATTTTATACAATTTAAGGTGTCATGTTTTGACTACTAAGTCACTCAAGTCACTCTCACTGAAATATAAAACTGTTAAAAAATTCATTACTGTGCAAGAAGTCAATAAAATGATCATAGATTTTGTAATTAAGATATCAATACTTGTATATAAAACTGTTAAAAAGTTAATATTTTGACATTTTCTTTATTACTGACATATCATTTGAAAACTAAATTTTTTTCTGTTGTTGCCCTTTGTGTATTGGGATGTATAAACAATTATCTTTTGGCTAATTTTCTTCACTTGGCTGAATTTTGCTTTTTATCGCAACCTTTGTTGCAGGCTTTTGTGTCTGACGCGTTACTTTTTATTGAAATCTTCCGTTTTTGCCGTTTTATCTTTTCTTTTTAGATTTTGCGATAAAAGGAATGTTTCTTCCAATTTTAACGACATTTGAAATTTGAAACTAAGTGTACATCGCTATTTGGTAATTGTCGTTCTTTCTTGTTATTTGGTTTTAAAAACAAATGTAATTTTTTGCTATTTTTATCTGGTTTTTTTTTTTTGACAAATGCTAAATGTAGCATAAAATAGAAATGGGCTTGTCAACATGCAAATGACTCAACTGAAAATGTCATGAAATTTTACTCGGCCCTGTGAAAATGTATTTCAGTGTCAAACGTATATCTATATTTTATAGGACAGTTGTACTGTGACATTTTGTATATTTAGTTATAATTGTACAAAGTGCGGTGATTTTTTTCTATCATCAAATTCAGCTACTGTTTCACAGCCGATTTGTGTACAAGCAGCGAGGGATAGGACTTTCAAAATGTAAATGTCATTGTTAAAATAAAAGAAATAAAAATTACAAATCCCGTTTTTTTTTTATTGTTTTATAATTAATGAATTCAGTTTTTTTATAAAGATTTTGAAATGTAATCGTGTAAAGTAACTTTTAACCATCACTGTTATAGTATTCTTATAAACATCCAAGAGGTTTTAAATTCCATAATTTTTCTGATAGCATATGTCCATTTCTTTAAATATTTACGGGACGAAATAATTTAATTCCATTTTATCACGACTTGAGGCAACAAATGTACAAAAAAAAGCTTTCACTGTTAGAGGGGTCACCTGCTTTTTGTCCAAATTTTTTTTTGAAGACGAAAAATTTTCTTTTCTTTTCTTTTGTAAATTATGAGACCAAATGATATTTACGCTGATTAAACATTGACATATTTAGCAGTTAGCAAGTCAATATTTGCTGTGTTCAGACTGGACAATAGTATACAAATATACAAACTTGGTGCCCGCAGTTTGACGTATAGTTTTTCCAATGTATGATGTACATGCAGGGAGTTAACAACTTTACGAGGGTCTATTATTCGAGGTTAACATAATAAACGTTTTTCTAACATATTGATCGCAACTGACTGGAATAATTACTTAATAGGGCCCCTATTTTTGTCGTTGATCTTGTATTTACCGATTATTTGTCATCGAAACCTTTGTAAATAATAATTTTAAGGAATAACAATACATTCCCACTTAAAATTATACAAAATAATATGGCCTGAAATGATCCTTCGATTGATTTTTCTTTTGGACAGGATGTTAAAGTCCGGACTGTGTTGTCAATACGGGTTTTCAGATGACTGAAAAGTCGCCTCATTGTAGCAGTCGCGGTGGGAAAATTATTGCGGGATAAGTTTACATTAAATGCTTTGTATTCATGCTAGGTATAACACTGCACGAAATATTCTCGAGACCATTGTACTTAAAGTACCGCCTTTAATGGCTGCCATTAATGGCTGCTAACATTCAAACGGGCAAGATTTATAAAATCAGACTGAAAGTCTGTATGCAAATATATTGGTTCACAAAGTTGTAAGATGAAAATATTCCTTAATCAAAATCTCAAGAGTAACAGATGCAGACGCACCATTAATAAATATTGAATGCATATAAAATACAGATCATTTTTACTCGACTGTCATCTTTTGAATGATATTTACAGGGTACTAAAATCTTGAGAAAATCCTCTGAGATTTTATACTAGAAATTTGTTAAAGATCGCTATTGTTAACTCTCCTGGAAACATCATAAGATCAGCTTTAGAAAGTTTTATAAGTTTCAATAGAAAGGTTGCTATGTAAAACAGTGCTGTCTGCATCAATTCATGAAACATTTATTTTGTATCAAAAATTTAAGTTTCCTCATTTTTTTCTCTTGTAACACGTTATTATTGATCAGAGTATCAAAGTTTACTATATATCTTAAGCTTCATTTTTAAAAAAATCACTTTATTTTATTGTTCTGACATCTGGTGTACTTGATTTTCTGTGAAAGTGATTTGCTTGATTTTGTATCTTGATAATTTAAAAAGTCAAGATGTAACAACCACCTGTTTATAGTAAATGATTTCCTTTTAAGATGGTTCAGTAATTCATTTATCGATTATTTGATGTACATTTGATAGATCTTGTAATAATTTTGTTGCCATGGTAACCAATTGAGTTTCAAACAGATTAAACAGTTTTTTGAGAGATTTCACTTACATTTTCAAATAGAGACCTGTCATAACTAATTGCATATTATAAGATTATTTTTTTGCAACCATTCATTCATTTATTTATTTATACTTGATTTTACTTTCTGCAGTATTATCATTATTAAGGTGTCGAAAACTTTTGTTGGTTTAAATATCATTAAGAAATATACCATGCCTATTTAGAATTGAAATTTAAGAAGGTCTTTACAGTGTTACAATTAAGGTCAGTTCAAAACGATATAAAAAAATTAAATATAAATATTCAATGTTATTTTCCAACTTTCTCCACAAATGTCTAGACAACTTCTACTCATTGGAGACTAAGAGAGAGTTAAATTTGAATTAGATCAAGGTACAAATCGGTTATTATATAATAAGCTTCTTGTTTCAATACAAAGGTATTGAGTAAAAAGCCTTATTAACAAAGTTTTAACTTCTTTTATGTGAACTTCGTAATATTGACACCATGTTACCTGACATTGTATGAACACAACATGACGTATATTGATGGATATTTTGTACTAATGCGGTTATTTTAGTGCAGAATTTTTCCTGTTATTTGTTCAATAGAAAACTAAACAAATTTACAATGGCTAGGCATTGATTTTCTAACATTTCTTACATACGTTGGAAATCAAATTTTAAAAAACAGGGAAATAATAGGTAGATTATTGTGTAATGTGTTAAAATTCCTGATTCAGATTTTTTTTCTCGCATTCCTTTTCATAGATTATTATTAGACCTTATAAAGTGTTTATGGTCATTAACATTCATATATTTATACACGCAAACTTTTTGTTCTCTTGAAGACATTTTTTACAAAATAACACCTGGAATAATTATATAATTATCAGGGGCAGGTTCACAAATCAAAGGTTTTCAAACAATTGATTGTCTTGAAGATCTTAAAGCTTAAAGATATTTCACTGAAATATTTTATGAATAAGAAATCAAGAGAAGTTGAAACAAAAATGTCCTAAGTTATGATCTGTTTCCATATAAGATATCTTACTTTAGCGCCAGTTAGAGAGCAAGGTTCCAAGGTCCTAATATTATTAGTGACAATTTTCATAATAAATTAACCTATGCTTAGTCACTAGTTAATTACAGAGGTCGTGATATTTGAAGCTTTCTATTCACTGTTATTTAAGTTTTTTTTCTTTTTGAAAAGACATAAATTATAATTATATTAAAGTAAGTGAACTGAAATGGAATTCGTACCTGTTTTTTTGTTGTTGTTGTTTAATGATATGCAAAAAAAAAATCCCCAGCAAACCATTATTACAAAAATGCTCAAAAATATTAATCGAAAGTAAGAAAAAAAAATACGGGACTTAAAAGATTTGAACTTTTGAGGGACATTAATGAGTGGCATACAAGATTGATGTACCACCCACATCAGTTCAAACAGCTGTTCGGCCAAAAGTTTTATCTTTACGTAAATATTTTTTTGTTTAAAACAAAGGCAGGTGATAATTATAAAACCATTGTTTTTAACTATCAGTTACAGTTATCTTTAAAATAGAAAGTGAAACACATTGAGTTATTTATTCGTTATAGCTTGGCCATTGCATATTAAATTTGAAAAATTTAGAGAACAAAAAAATAATGCGAAAAAGTCCCGAAAATGATGTGACGATTGTGATAAAGAAAAAATTGAATTAACTAACGAGCGTACATTTTCTATATAACAGTATCATGACACTTTAAAGGGTATTAAACAGATCTTTTACAAAGCTTCATATTGTTTAAACTGGGGTATTAAATTGTAGACATGAAGGCATCCAAATAGTATCTTAATTTAAAAAAAAGTAAATGTATTTTGTTTGTTATTTTCGTACACAAAGATTTTTTGCCATCATGAAAGGTTTTCTTTCTTTACAAAGATTTAATTAACAAATAACATGCACTCGTACACATAACATAGTTTTTATGATGTAACGCATATTTTTAGCATTTATAATGTAAGGTTGTTTTCTGTTTTTAATGACTGTAATTTTTAAATAGCGAAAGATAGTAAGTATTCCAGAAATTGAATTTTTTTAGACAAACGAAATTAATGAAAGTTTCCTAGATCATTGTGAAGTAAATGTAACAAAAAAAAGCAGTTACAGGAGTTATTTTAAGCAGTTTTTGGAGTTTTCATGGAAAGAATTTTCCCACATATTACTTTGTTTTCTTGTATATTTTATTTTCAAATTGACTTCAATCGTTACCTGGAATATAATATAAGATCGAGAAAACGGCAAGAAACATATTTTATGATTCAGTAAATACCTTTTATAAATAATTTATTTACAAATTAATCATCTGGTGAATTATGTGTAGATTTTAAATGTTTGATTAAATGACGAAAATATATTTTACGACCTTTCGAAAAAAAAAAGTGTTATTTAACGATCGTTACACAAAATGTCTTTCTCAATACATCTTTTTAAGACGAATGAGTAATTCTGATGGCAAGTTTTAAATTCAACGATTAAAGAAGAGAAATATTTTGAATATTTGCGTTACCTGTTTAGTAATCGATGTAAATCAGAAAAATGTGAACACACGATAAATTCCTTTCTATGAGTTTTCTTTTTAAATCCAAAATTTGTCGGTCGAAAATAAAAAGAGAACACGACTAAAGAGAATAACAGCACAGGATGTCAAATGTATTGTGAGGTTTAACAAAATAAAACATGAGCATTAGATAAAAATCGTCCCATTTCGACATGACCAATTAACTCAGAAAATATCCAAACTTTGTAGTAAAAGGTAAATCGCAAATCCGATAGAACATAATTGCATGAAATTTCTTTCAACATTTACAAAGTAATTTTGTGAATTGCTCTGTTTTGAATAGGAGAATATTGTTGAGATTTGAAATAAATGGTCTGGTTGCCTGAGGGGAAAAAAAGACGTTTTACGCTATATAAAACCATACAGCACTTCATAACAGTATATTTTATATAATCTACACATGTCGTTAAAATGAAAGAAAATTTAGTGGTGTCGCAACATTTGGTGAAGAATTTAGTTTTCATTGCTATTTAATGACTTGACAGTTTGTCAAGCAGTGATTTTACAAGCTCTTGTGTCTTTGTGAATGAAAAGAAACCTTATTTTTTATCTGATATTTTATTGTAACGTTTCCGTTACAATTGCATAAATTTTGTTCTTACGAAAAAAAAAATAGAGAAGAAAATTACTCACTTGAAAAAACACCTTTTGAAATATTTTTATACATGATGTAATATTCAGTAATGTTAAGTAACACATTTTATAAACTGAAATATAAAACTTACTTGATTTGTTTTATAAACTCCAATGATTTATTATGATTTATGCCAAATTAAATTCCTTCAATAATGCCCTGACTCTTGTTATGTCGGCCGAACATGTGTATTGTAGTTTTAAAATCAAGGTAGTGAAAGTAATACCTTATGAAAATATTTTCCTAATCTGACTGAAGGCATATCCTTTAATGATTATGTAGCAGTGAATATTTTATGCCCTCGTCTCAACAGTATTAGACCAGATCATTGTGATCCGTACACTTTAGCGAAGTCTTAATGTGGATTATAAGGTGAATGATATTTTTAAAATGTGCAAATAGCCACTGTTTACAAGGTACCACAAGGATCACGTTTAGTTTCCAGAGACAAGACGGTGTCCCGTACATACTATTTAAGGCCAGGTTTAATCAGTGTCCGCTGTCAAACGAAATTTTAAATTGTTTTAATTTTTAAGATGAAATTTAACTGTCTAAAGGATGAGAAAAATTTAATCTTGTTATGAATTTATTGTTCATTATAAATTTTATCTTGTTCCTGAAGCTTTCTTTGATGTATATGCATATTTTTCTTTCTATTTTCTATTTAAAATATATTAAGACATAATTTCAATGTATTATCAAAGTAATTAATATATTACACTAAGTTTTTTTTCTTGCAAAGAATTTACTTAAAATGACAACTTACTGAGTCATACTTAAATATTTTAACATTTTAGTATCCTTTTATGAACATAAAATTATAATGTTTATAACTCCCATCATGTGTCATGTTACGCTTCCTTATGTAGCGAAAGTTAAAGTGTTACCCCTGCTCACCGAAATAATTTGAATAATCCAACTTTTGTTGCACATATCAGGTGTAACCCACAAATCACAGATCTCCATATAATTATATCACACTCATAAAGCCATGAAAACGTTCACAAACTTCTTGAAACCGTGCCACAACAAATAAAAACAAAGCAGTCAGACTGTTACAGTCGTGAACATGAACGCATGGTATATAAAGTTATTAATCTTTTAACGTGATACACTTTGTCCTTATCCCACCTCAGTGTTAAAACCCGAATGTGGTAGTTATCAGTATCAGTAGTAATTTGTCATTTGTTTGCGGTATGTCCGTCCCTATTTCAATATGAGAAGCTCACGTTACTTTTGTTCGGTTATTTCTGATACGGCTACTACTAGAGCAACGTGGTTGCGGATGGTTTAATTCCCCTCTGTATAGACTGCTTCTGATGCACACATTGTTGGGTCATTTAAGTGAATTTCAGTAATTTGATCGTTTAAATCGGTAACTAGTGTAAATTGACAGTAACCATTTGTTAATTGAGGCAGAAAGTGTTCCTATACACATGCAAATATAGAATTAGATATTCCCAGCACTATGATAAAATATTAAGTGGCTATTTCCTTTACTTAGGTGTAAATTTGCTCGAGGGGCCGTCTTTTGTATCGGGAATTCTGATTGGCAAAGTGATACATGTATAATTTGATGATAGCCGGGTCTTGCTTAATTATAATATACAGTATATATTGCCTAAGGTGGTAACACTTTTTCATATTTTATAAAGTTGAATGCTTCATGATTCACTATTAACTGCGGTGAAAGTGAACAAAAATGCCCCCAGATAATTTAAACACTTGGTTGCTACATTACTATATGTACATAAACATACCACATACATAATTAAAGCACAGCAATTTGCAGATTGTTAAAGGCTTGTAATATTTCTTTTATGACGATGTTCTGGTATTTGATAAACTCCTTTTTTTTGCTCTATGAACACACTGATAGGCTCCCTAAGTTAAGAGGCAGTCAGATAATAGTTTGTTACTCTGTATGGCTTCTTGCATAAAATAAAGCTTCTCCCATAAAAAAAACAACAACAAAAAACAACAAAAACATAATGACTTCACATGAATGTTTGATGTGTAAGCTGCTTATTTTGACTTAAGAGTGATAAATCTGCAACGCTGACATATTTAATTGATAAAAAATACAACTGGGAGATAAAAGTGTTATTTTAAAGCCTACCTAAGCTCTTTGAAAAAAATGAACTTTTCAAGATGTTATCCGAAAACAACTCTTACCTTCCATTAGCAAAACAATGGACCGATGATTTGTGAAATCTTATCTATAAATGAACTGTTTTAAAATATGAAAATTGCCAACAATTTGATTTTATATTTAAGATCAGATTTTTAGCAAGTTTTTTTTTTTTTTTAGTAAAAAAAATAACACCGAGAAAAAAAATCAACAAAATAAAATTAATAATTTTTACAATTATAAATCAATATTGATTGGCTGTCCCCTTATTCTTTATATTTATTTTATATATATATATGCTTATACCTGAAACTAATTTAAACATAAACAAGAATTATTAGCATAAATGTCACAAGCAAAGTGCCAGACTATCTTGCACATCCAGTCAGTCTGTTATAGGCTCTATACTTCAAGCTACCCAACTTTATAATGATTTTCAACTCAATATCTCCAAATCTGACAGTTGAAAGTTTCAAAAATAAAAATTTGACTAGTCTATTTAAGAAATTCAGCATGTTATTTAACGCTAGGGCTTGATAACTACGAATAGAACAGTTTGATTTCCAGATATAACATATAGCAAGACAACTGCGCAATCTTGATTTATAATATTAGATACTGGCAGAAAAAAAGAATAGAAAAAATCAAACAAATTAATTCATGCTTGTAAATCATCAAGTGAATTTTTTTTAAAGTCCAATAAAAGATTTAAAAACAAATAAAGAGTGTCATTTAATTTACACTATGAATTTTTTACTTCAAATATATTTTTCTGCTATATCATTAGTGATAACGTTATCGATAGCAGGATGTCTGGAAAGAAGCAAAACATTCTTAAATGAAATTTAAAAGTTGTTTTTTTGTTGTTTTTGTTTTTACTTTAAAGTCCTATTTTTTTCCTCTCAATTTTCATTAAGCTCAAGATTTTTTTTGATATTGAGACTTTGAATATAAGGAATAAGTTATTTTGATATCATCTTTGTCTGCTATTGAATATATACATTAAATAAATGTTGCCCTTGATTAGAAAATTGTATGTGATCAACCAAAATGGTTTTAAGTTCTTGAAAATAATATAAGTATTTTGTGTAAAAAAATTTTTTTAAATCTAAAAATGTTGGAAATGTTAAATATTAAGAAATGCACTTCCATGAATGTATACGAATAAATATTAGACATGAAAATGAATAATTTTCAAATGAAGAAAGAATTATTTACAAAGATATCTGAATGAAAATTCTTGGAGAAAAAAATATTCCCAGAAATTAACATAATGAATAAAAAAAACCTACCAGATATTTGATAATTAGGCTTGAAGTGTATGTCTTCTGATGGTTTTATTCCTTGTTAATTGGTAGCAAAATATTTCCAAAGTTATTATCCCAGAGAAAAACACTGTTTTACTGTGATTGTCAGGACATTGAACATTCACTAATAATACGCTAGCAGCGCTGAGAGAGAGAGAGAAATTCTACCAAATTTCTCTATGCACCCTTCTATATATCTTCACTGACAGTCCTTAATCTCAAGAACTTCTGCTCTAGGTTTCCTATTTGTGAATGAAAGAAATGTCTAGCAGAGCACACATAACAACATTGACACATTTAAGGGGCACTGATCTCTATTTAAACAATTGCATCTGAAAGCAGGGGACTTAGATAATATAGGTAGATATAGATGTATGGAGATAATTAAAAGTCTTCATCAAACACACTGATGCCATCTTTATCTAAAGTAATTGAGACTTTAAGAGCTTTATTTCCCATCTCTTTATAGTTTTTATCTTTATAATTACCCTCCAGATTAAGATTGACTTGTCAGTGTAAATCATCTCACATTAATTGATATTGAAGATGACTATCACTTAATTAAATGCTTATTATGTAATTGCAGGAGTAGATAATTGGATTATAATTACCTCCCCTGTAGTGATACTGGATAGGAAGTGTGGGGACACTAATTATTGACACTTATTGTTTTATTATTGGCCATATGGTGGAAGGACTGAGAAGTGAAAGAAGAACTCAAGTGTTGAATTGGTTATTGATTATTTTGTTTTCAATAATGAATTGATTATTTTTTTGACATTTTTATTGCTATGTTAGAACAGAACTGAATGGTGATATTCTGTACTGACTTTTTGTGCAAGTTTGAGAATATCTTACAGGAAAATAAAATATAATTTTAGGAGGAATTGTTAAACAAATGGAGTTTTTATTTATTGTTATAAGAAAAATCATTAATTGTCAATTTTGACTCAAAGAAAGTAATATGGTTTAACCATTCTTAAAATGGCTGTATAAACAAAGTTGAAAAACAATATTTGTTCTGATTTTGTTTTAAATAGTTGAATTTTTTTTTTTTTAAAGTTCATAAAACATTTTTGATTTTTATACAATTGAAAAGAAAAATGATTTAATAATTCATAGAGTAACTTTATTTTAAAAAGTTGAATAATGATTTTATTTTTAATTTATTTTTTATATACTTGAAAATTTTTCAATTTTGCTTGAAGAAACAAAAAGAAAATAAACATATTTTTAATTTTTATGATTTTAGTATTTTCTTGAAAAGAAAAAAATCTTTTTTTTATAAGACAAATTTCCTCTCTAGACAAATTTCCTCCCTTTAATTATGTGGTCTTTATATGTTTTTATTATGTCTTTCTTGTTAAGCACTTGATTTAACTTTGGTCAGGTAGTAATTTGTGGTTTATTACTTTATAACAACTTGTTGGACATATTAATTATGGTTTTCATAGCTTATGCTTTTTAACCGATTTTCGCCAAAAAACATTCATTCTTTGCATTTTGTCCCCATTTGACCCATCAGGTCGCTGACAAATACACCTCAGACTGTAACATTGAGAAAAGTTATTTTATTGTAAAGACTCAATGAACATTTTGATGATAACCTATAAAGTAACAAATGGTGGTCAGTTACTATTATTAAAGTCAAAATTATAGGTTTCCCGCTTCATAGGGCTGTCGGAAAATAGACGGCAATTATCATGTCCAAGGTAAAGAATAATTAAATAACGCACCAGAGATTGATTTGAAAGCATGTAAGGAATTAGAATTGAAAGTAAAGAAATAACAAAACAGTGGGGAAAGAAAAGACTTTAAAAAAGGTTGCGGTATTTAAGGTATATTTTGAATTAGACTGGTTACAATAATTACGCAGATGTTTCGGATGAATTAAATGTCTCCTCTTGTATATACCTGTAAGACACAGTCTAACGGGGAAAAAATAAAACTGGCGTCATCTCAGGTCGTGAATATTTAAGGTCGTACATGGCCTGCAGTTATGATGACTGTGTAAGCGTAATTACGGTTATTATTAATGTAACGTGCCAGACTGGTATTTTCCTCGCGTGTTTTTTTTTCGTATTCATTAATTTATGAAAGTTGAACGATGTATATGTTACATATTAGTCAGTTAACGTGTTACATTGTTAATCACACATACTAAGATACCGTAATTTGATTTTAACGACAGCGGCTTTTATGTAGCGAATGTTCTCTTATTTTTTTTGTCTTCTTGTTAACAGTTACAGGTTCCATGAAATAAAAAGTTACAATGTAAAGTTCCAACAACAGTGTCAAGAAAAATGTTATCATTGTTACTGTTTTTCGTTACAGATAAAGCCCCCCTTCCCCCCACCCTGGATTACCCCAGATCCCGGGCCTTCATTTTGTCACAGAATGCAAAATTAATGAATTATGAGTAAACCAGGGTTTGAACTCTTTAATTGACCGATTGATAAAAACTAAACTACTCGACTAGAAACATAAAATAACTTATAAATAGTATATATGATCCCCGTAGGTGAAATAAATTCAAATATTGTCTTCTAACACATTAATTAACCTTTATATTCTAAAGAAAACAATAGTATAATCGATATGTCACACTATTTTGATGAGAAAAAAATGTATTGTCTTAAGATACAGTGTCACCCAGTGACTAGGAATGAAAATCTCCATAATGACATATGGTAAAAGTTGAAAGCAAAGTTATCTTGATCAGATATTGAGGACAAAAATGCCCAACAGCTATAACATTGCCTTTCCTCAGTACCAGTAAATTGTTTTTAATATATTTCCTTTTCTGTTGTAGTGGACAAGTAAACAGTTTACCAGATGCCAGTCCCAGTACAAGCAATTGTCCTTATTATATAATCAGCATATAAAACTTGCGTGAGAAATTTGAAAAGTAAAAATTTTAAAATTGTAATATTTGTGCAATATCAAATGGTAATAAATCTCTCTTTTTATGATTTTATGGTTTAAAAAATGTTTAATGGTTGTGATAACACCTGGTAAAAGGTAAT